CAACATTTCAAAAATTCAACACTACTTTAAAATGAATGTAAAGTAGTGTTGAATTTTTGAAATATATATATTTATATATACATATATATGTTATATTCTGTATATATGATCACACTGTTGTTGTTGCCGCTGATTTTTCAATGTTATTCACCCATATAAAATGCATATAAATTTTGGCGTGGACATGTATAACATGTAATATAACATTATAACGTAATCTATATAAATGGTTTTAATGTGATAAAATTTCAACATTTTCTATTTTTTCAATGGAGTTCGTTGTTTATGGTTCTTTGTAAACAATATTTTCGCGAATATTGATTACTAAATTTATTCTAATTATATGATTTAAACTATTTAGCGAATTATTTGAACGATGACTGATAAAAAGGCTGCGAGTCAGTTGAATGTCTATGATAAAAATCGGAGCGTTCGCTCGATGATTAAAAAAAAATCTGTTCCCAAAGCCGTTCTGTGTGCACCTTACAAAATTATTTGGTTAGCCTTGCTTAGAATTTCAATGTAGAGATTTAGTTAGTAATAGTTAGACGGAGCATTTGTTCATAAAAATATGGTTTTATTAATTAATGATCTTACTTCTTATACTTATTTGAATGTAGGATTTGGATTATGAGATTCTAATTCCCAATTATTTTTCTGTTTATTTATTTATTTATTCTTAATTCTTAATTATTTTCTTATTTATTAGTTATTATTGTTACAATTTTATGTTCTTTGATTAACATTAAATAAAAATTAAATTAAATTATTTTTATTTTTTTTATATTTGATGATTTTTTTTCATTTTTTTTAAAGGCCTAATGTGGAACAAAAGGTTCAAGAAGACATCTTAAATGAATTAGAAAGGTTTAACGAGTTTAAAATTTTACATAAAATTTTGATTTTTTTATGTTTTAAATTTTTCAATAATCAATTAATTTAATTTTTTTCTTTCAATTTAAAAACCAAAATACACCATTTTTTGTTTAATCTTTATTTAGATTTTTCAATAATGAAGTTTTTAAGAAGCCAGCAAGAATAAAATTAGACAAAGAATCTCGAAAAGAAAAAAAGAAACTTCAAAAAAATGATCAAAAAACACAAGCAAATAAATTTAGGAAGCTTCTGGCTATCGGTCTACAGGATGTTACAAAACATGCCAAGAAAAATAATCTCTCAATATTCTTTGTGGATAGATCATCACCATGGCAACTGCATCGACATTTAATTCAGTTGTGTTCCATTCTGAACTGCCCTGCAGTAGCACTCGATCAGTTTTCTGAAAAAATATCCCCATTGTTGTCCGTGTCGAGAGTGTGTGCTCTTGGATTCAAAGTAATATTCCTACTTTTTCCTATTTTATTATATGTGTTCATTTAAAAAAAAATTATGATATACAAAACATTTATTTTTATTTGAATTTTATGTTGACAGTTTCTTAATGTTTATTTTCATTGTTATTTTCATCATAAAGAAAAATTATGAAGTCACTTCAGAGCAAGAGAGATGTGATTATAACATGTTCGAAAAGCTTGTAAATAAAATTGCTCCACTCTGTCCCCAATGCATCTTGCCCTGGCTCGAATGCGAACAGGAGCTGCTGGCCATAAAAAATGACGCAATCAAATTGGTCGAAAACGCCAAAAATAATTGTAATAACGATATAAATAATGAAAATAAAATTGATAATAATGATTGTAATGATAATGATAAAATTGATAATAATGATTGTAATAATAATGATAATGATAAAAATAATAGTAACTTGAGTATTGATGAATCATTGTCATCCTCTGATGATAGAGATAATGATGAAGAAGATGAAGATAAATCTGTTGGGTCGAATTGTGATAAGATTAATAATGATAACAATGATGAAATAATGCCAGATGATGAGGATAACAAAGATGGAAATGAATATGAATCATGTTCTGAATTTTCCAATTTATACGTTCATAAAAATACCTCATCCGAATGTGATTGTGGTTCATCATTCACAAAAGAAAAAAACAACGATTTATGGGACTATAAAATGTTTAGATCTGACATCTTTTTTAAAAACGATCCAACCACCAAAGAAAAATCTAATAATTTTTTCAATGAGAGGGCTTCACAACAGAACAACCAGAGGAAAAGAAAATTTCAAGAGACTGTAGTGGCTAAATTTCTTAAAAATGAATTCAGAATTAAAAAGAAAAAATAACTGTGTGTTTTGTGTGTTTTTTAATTTAATTGGCCGATTGATGAGTGGACTAAAATTATATGAAAAGAAGAGTTGTTCAAAGTCCAACTTGTCTTTTTTATCAAGATCCAAATTAATATTAAAATCGCCAATTATATATGTTGGCATGTTTGTGTCAGTTAAAATTTGTTCAAAATCGATCATAAATTTGGAAAAATCACTATTTGGCGGTCGATCTAAAACTATAATTCTGATAGATTTAAATTGAGCCAACTCGGACTGCTTAACTAGATCAATTAATGTCGCCGATATAAATTCTATATATTGATAATTGCGTTCTATATATGTTTCTTTGTGTTATTCGTAAGCTTTAGGGTTGCTATAATCTATATTGCCTAAGAGATCTTGTCTGAGTAATGAGAAATTGAATTTCATGCGTCCATGTGGCTATCCGCTCAAATAGCAACACTCATAACTTTGCAATAATAAATTCGGAAAAATATGAAGCTAGAGTTAGGAACTCAAATAAAGAAGATCAGCATCTTTTAGAAATAGACATAGATGAGTTAGGAGGAAGAAAATCTAAAAAAACAAACAGACTCAATAAGAAGGTGATCAGAATAATGACAAGAGCTACAGAGGCTTACCAAATAGGCTTAGAAAAAGATGAAGCTATTATAAAATCAATAGTGCTACCAGAAATATGAGTAGGAAAACAACAATATTGGGTTAGGTTAAAAAATGAATAATAATATGTTTTTTGAACACCAGAGAACAAAACCCTGGCTACGCCTATGGATACACTCTGCATAAAAAAAATCATAATGAGAAATTATTCAAAATTTCATAAAGAGATTTCATTTAAATACTCTTTAGACAAATATCATAGTACAAAAACTAACCAAATATTTTTTGATCGTCGGATTAAATATTTATTCCATTGTGTTCAAAAATACTAACTAAATTATTGTTAGTTTTAGTTTTATTTAGTTATCTTAAATTATATACGTTCGTATTTAATAAGCTTTTGTTGTTTTTGTAATATTCGTTTTTTTTATCTGTGAATTTATTCATCATCATGTTCTAAACAAGCAAGCAATTTTTTCAAGAAAAACATGCATTGTATTGTTTCTGGTTCGTAGTCAAGTTGATTTCAAACTTGTCCGCATAAAATTTAATTTTTACGATTTTTAGGTAAATATACTTGGCAAAGTTACTTCAATACAACAATTTTTTTATAGTCGTTGAAGGTTTATGAAATTAATTTGATACGACATAATCTAAAAAAAGTTAAATTTTAAATAAAAAAGATAATTAATAAATTTTTACTCCCATTTTACTTCTTTTACAAAAAACCGACTTTACTGCTAAAAGCTTTTGAATAAAACAAACAATTATTGACAAACAATCATAACCTTAACTAACTCCTGTGAAATGTTTTTTGCCAGTTCATCCTTTAACTTTCTCAGTTCAGCCAAGTTTGAAAGAAGACAACATTTTGAGAGTTGAATGCTCACTAAAAATTGCTGTTGGGAGATTTCTTCATGAACAGGTAATGACTATTCTCAACGGAGAAGAAGAATTAGCAAACAAGCAAACGGTAATCGAAAAGTCAATAGATCATAATAATAATGGCACATTTAATTATAATATTAGCATTTTAGCTTATAACTCATTTTTATTTTTCATTCCCGAGTTTCAAAACTTCCATTAGCATGCTCAGTTCACTCTTATAAGGTCTTTCTTTCGAACGTAACCACTTGGACCGAAAATTTGAATTTTAACATTTTGACAAGGCTTAAGTCCGGTTAATTCATCCGAACTTCTCATCCATATTTAAGTTCAATTAGCTGCCAAATCTAAATTTTATTGGAAAATTTTTCTGTTTCAGGTTGCACTAAATTGGTTATCTCAATATCAATATGGAAATGATTTCAACCCCACTTTACACTCGAACACTTTTCTACTACTTTTCTACTACATTACGAAATTTGTCATTGTCAGATTTTTATGTATTCATCATTGCTTATTCTGCATTAAATATTATAATTAAGGATATGTGAAAGTGGCATTTTTTAAAATTTTGCCCAGAGAAACGTTCGTGACAAAAATTTTCACGAAACTTGCGTTGTTTAAAATATAAAAATTACAAATATAAACAGAGGAAGAAAAAAACGACAAATCAATAAATAGCGAATCAACGTCAGAAACTACACTATATATACTAAACGTTTTACTACACTATATATACTAGTTATTTTTATCAACAATTTAAAAATTTTATCAATAATTAAAAAAAATTTCAAATTGATTTCATTGCGATATCACTAATGATTTTTGTAACCTGACTGATTAAAAAGCATCAAAGAAAGTTAAAATAGGATGGAGAATTTGTTATATTGGGATATTCGTTTAAAAAGCGAGCAAAATTTTAATATAAAAGCGCTTATAAATCTATGCATATTGGCTCAGCTTGGCTTGGCTCGGCTTGGAGTCGGATGTTAAGCAAGGTGTGGTCTTAAACTATTTTGAATTCTCCCCGAAAAATTTGAACTGCGTGCGTACATATATAGTAATGGCTACTGTTGTTTTTTATAATGAATTTATGCATATTGGCTCAGCTTGGCTTGGCTCGGCTTGGAATTGGATGTTAAACAAGGTGTGGTCTCAAACAATTTTGAATTCTCCCCGAAAAATTTGAGCTGCGTGCTTACATATATAGCACTGATTACTGTTGCTTTTATAATGAATTTTTATTATATATATATATATATATATATATATAAAGTGACTGGAATCCATGTATACAAATAATTAAATTATATTATATTAGATTATGTTTATATGAAAAGCAATATAGCAGATTCAACCAGCCAACCAGAAAGTTTCGAAGGCGTTCGTTCAATGACTTCAATTTAGTACGGTTAGCATTTTGGTTAAGACTGTATAATAGTGTAGTACATACATTAAATAAGTTTTTTATTGATGTGAATGATTGAAATGATGAAAATGTATGGTTGAAACGAGTATAAATAGGAGCTGAAAAAAAGTTGAAACCAGATCAGGCATTTCTGCCTCGCTCGAGTCGGAGTGCCTGATCTCATTTTTTTATATTTATATTTTTTAATTAATTTATTTATATTTAATTTTATTTTATATAGAGTTATATAGAGTTTGCATGTCTGTGGTTTGTGTGTTTGTATGTTGTATTTTTTTATATTTTAGGTGGGTTCTTTAGCGGTTGCTCATACATACATACATACATCATGTTTGTTTGTATGGTAGTATTTTATGTTCTGTTTTACTCCTTTTTCTCTTTCTTCATGAGTCTTGAGTTAAGTTAATGAAGCATAGGTAGGTGAGGTAAAAATTAATTTATTATATAGGTAGGCTAGGGCATAAGGTAATTTAGTTACATAGGTAGGTTAGGGACTCCTATTCTTTTACTCTACTTGGTGGTGTGATTTTTGTTTTGTGTTTTTTTTGTTTTGTTTCACATCATACATTCAGCAGGTACGCGGTGGTTCCTGGTTTTAGTGGAATTTTTATTGATTGAATGTGGTAGTATGCATGGTTATATAGAGTTATATAGAGTTATATAGAGTATATAACTCTATATAAGAGTTATATAGAGTTATATAGAGTATATAACTCTATATAAGAGTTATATAGAGTTATATAGAGTATATAACTCTATATAAGAGTTATATAGAGTTATATAGAGTTATATAGAGTTATATAGAGTTATATAGAGTTATATAGAGTTATATAGAGTTATATAGAGTTATATAGAGTTATATAGAGTTATATAGAGTTATATAGAGTTATATAGAGTTATATAGAGTTATATAGAGTTATATAGAGTTATATAGAGTTATATAGAGTTATATAGAGTTATATAGAGTTATATAGAGTTATATAGAGTTATATAGAGTTATATAGAGTTATATAGAGTTATATAGAGTTATATAGAGTTATATAGAGTTATATAGAGTTATATAGAGTTATATAGAGTTATATAGAGTTATATAGAGTTATATAGAGTTATATAGAGTTATATAGAGTTATATAGAGTTATATAGAGTTATATAGAGTTATATAGAGTTATATAGAGTTATATAGAGTTATATAGAGTTATATAGAGTTATATAGAGTTATATAGAGTTATATAGAGTTATATAGAGTTATAGTTCTCTATTTTCATTTAAATTAATTAAATAAATAAGATTTGTCCATTCATCTAGGTTCATTCAGGTTCATTCATTCAGGTTATAGCTTCCAGAGGAGTTCGTCGTGGAGGATCAGAATGGTTGTGATGTCACCCTACGTTCAACCTTAACCCTAACTTCCGACTTTACGGTTTCTTAACGGTTTCTTTTTTTGCCAGTTTGCTGGCTTTTCTGGCTGGTGGATTTCACCGCGGCTCGTTTTTCTATTTTCATTTAAATTAATTAATTAAATAGGATTTTTTCATTTCATTCAGGTTGATGCTTCCAGAGGAGTTCATCATGGAAGATGTCAGGCTACGTTCGTTCATTCAGTGGCAAAGAATACCTGCCTGACTGGGATACGTTTTCTTTTTTTTCTGTAATTTAACATTAAGTAGGAATGCTCACACGCACACACACGCATACACAATTACATTAAGTAGCTATATAGGTAGGTTAGATAGGCCTAATTTTAATTGTAGGTAGGATAGATAGGGAGCATCCAACACTAATGTAGTTGAATAGGTAGGCAGCGTAAGTTTCTCTTCTATTTTATCTTGCACCCACATTACACGCACCAGCGTATTACACACACACACACACAAATACATACATAAACACATATGTTAGTATTTGAGCGTAATTTTATTTTCATTACACATTTTAATTTATTATTACTAAGGTTGAGAGTAATTTAATTTCATAGGTAGTTAAGAGCAATAATGTAATTCTAGGAAAAATCTTGTAATGTAAATTAAAACGCTGTAAGTGTATCGATAGGTAGGTTAATTGTTAAGTTTTACATTATCATTA